GTTTTATTTTTAATAATCAAAACTCTATTTAGTCTAACATTATTATTATTATTATCAATTAGACAGTACAGCTGAGGAAGAAATCATCTTCAGAATAATCTGCAGGTAAAATTGCCCAGTAGAATGGGATGTTTCCATGAGATAAACACACTACATTACAGGCAGTAGGGATCTCCCTCTACCCCCATTCATACCATGCCAGATACCAGAGATAGACAGCACCTGCAAACATGGGAAAGCACAGTAGAAACAAAAGATATTCTGGGGTCTGTGTTCTCTGGGCCTTGCCTATCCTAGATTTATTCATCATAGAAGTGCCTTCTGGTGGGCTGGCACCTTGAAGTCAATTGCCATCTACTGCTCCTTTGACATGGCTACTGGCAGAATCCATTCTGACTTCAACCTGTGTAGGCCCTGTGCATACTGGCACAGACTCTGTGAGTTCATACATGGATCAGTCTTGTTGTGTCTGGAAGACACTCTTTTCTTGGTGTCTTCCAACCTTTTGGCTTTTATATAGTCTTTCTGCCTCTTCTTCCACATAGTTCCTTGAGCCCTGAGTGAGGGATTTGATGGAGACATCCAATTTAGGACTGAGTGTCCCAAAGTCTCTCGATTTCTACACATTATCCTCTTATGGGTCTCTGTGTTAGTTCCTATTTATTGCAGAGGAGGCTTCTCTGATGATGACTGAATGGGACACTGGTCTGTGGGTATAACAGAATGTCATTAGAAGTCATTTTATTGCTGTGTTCTCTTAGCCCAACAGTAGTATTTGGTTCTCACTGAGACCCACGGCTTATCTAGTCTCAGGTTCTTGGGTACCTGAGCTGTAGGAGGATGGCCACTTGTTTGTTCTGGCTGCCCAGAACTGAAACAATCACACAAAAACCAAATTATTTAAATCACTGCTTGGCCCATTAGCTCTGGTTTCTTATTGGCTAACTCTTACATATTAATTTAACTTATTTCTATTAATCTATATATTGCCACATGGGTGTGCTTTACCTGGCAAAATACCAGTGTCTGTCTCCAGTGGGCTACATGGCTTCTCTCTGACTCTGCCCTTCTTTCTCCCAGCATTCAGTTTTGCCTTCCCTGCCTACCTAAGTTCTGCCCTGCTATAACAGTTTCTTTACTCATGGTAATCACAGCATACAGAGGGAAATCCCACATCACCTCCTTTTTTCTGTTTAAATGAAAAGGAAGGCTTTACCTTCAGTGTAGTAAAATTACATATAACAAAACAAGTATCAAGTAAGAATTACAGTTACAATATTTATATCTACTTTATCTTTTATCATAACTAAGGAAAACTATAACTATCAATTCTTCAACTCCATTGAAGACTCCAGAAGGATATAATATTACCTAAGTAAACAGGAAGTGCAATGTAAGCAACTTCCAAAACTTCAGAATTAACAGAGATTTCTCACTGCCTAGATAGTCACCCAAAGTTCTTCTGTACTGTTGGGGCATCTACCTTCAGCCTACAGGCCCATAGTATCCAGCAGATTTTCCATGAAGCAGAAAATTTCAAACACAGTTCTATCTATATTGGCAGTTTGTCAGTCACTTTCTTCTGTGTCCTGCAGAATGTCTTACAGACTCTTTCATGAAGTAGGAACCCTGAAGGACGGTCTCATTTTTAGGCAAGTTCAGCAGTCATTTCTCTGTAGATCCTGAATGTCCAATTCATCAAGCAGTCCAGGCAAGAGCAGTTTCTTGCCCAAATGGCTAACCAACTTCATAAGGAACCTCTACAATGCCCATCTTCCTCTTGAAGTAATTGGTGCTGCCAGGATTAGATGTGTCTCACTGTCATGAAAAGTCCTAAGTTCTTAAAAAAAAATTAAATGCCATATTCTGAAGGTCTCCGTAGTGTCAAGCATAGATTTCATCTCTTGGAGTGGGCTTTAAATATAATCAGAGAGTGGTTGGTCACTCACAACATTTGTGCAACAATTGTACTAGCATATCATTCAGGTAGGACACCATTGTAGATTGCAGGAGTTGTAGCTGGGTTGGTATTTACTTTTCTCCTCTGGAACCTTCTGTTGCCATGAACAATAACCAGCTATAATTGAAGGATGCAGATAAGCACCAGCTCAACTTCTGTGTTCAGTGAGATAAGTAAGTGCTGTCTTTAGCAATAGGGCCTGACCATAAGTTTTGGGAGAGCAACCAACCGTAACCTTGGCAATGACGTGAGTTCTTGGGGTTTTCATGGGCCCAATTACTGGCACTGGAAGTTTCCCTTGGCAGTGTAGCTAGGGCATTGTCTTCTTCATTATTTGGTGATTGCATTTAGTTTTCTTTTACATATGTATATACTTTAGGAAGCTTTTACAATAGTAGGTTTCTGTATGATCCCTCAAACTAACAAGTTTCCATCCCTTACCTTCCTCTTATCTCTCTGTTCTCATGTAATCATCCTGCTCTACTCTGTCCCTGTCACTTCATAACTATATATTATATTTCTTCATCCTTGGGAGATGGCTCCTCCTCTCTAGTCATTTACTCTGTACCCAATCTCTGGGACTATAAATTGCAGCATGCCTATTGAAGGATTAAAATCTGGCAGCCACATATAAATGAATGTATACCATGTTTGCCTAGGGCCTGGGTTACCTTACTCAATATGATTCTTTTAGCTCCTTCCATTTATCTGAAAATTTAATTCATTCTTTTATGGTTTTTTTTTTTTAAGACAGGGTTTCTCTGTGTATCCTTGGCTGTCCTGAACCTCACTCTGTAGGTGAGGCTGGCCCAGGTTGGCCCTGTATTCACAGAGATTCAACTGCCGCTGCCTCCCTAGTGTTGGGATATGGCTCAGTTGGTAAAGGCTAGGTTCACAATCAAAGATATAAGAATTAGTTCTTTGTTTTTAACAGCTGATAATATTCCATTGTGTAAATGTACTCGGTTTTTCTTATTCATTCACGGTTGATGGACTTCCAGACCATTCTATTATGAATAGAACAGCAATGAACATGGTTAAACAAATGTTTTTCTAGTGGGATATAGAGTCCTTTGGGTATATGCCTAAGAGTAGTATAGCTGGATCTTGAGGTTGATCTGTTCTCAGCTTCCTGAGGAACTGCCAAGCTGAGGATAGGGAACCTGAAATGACCCTATCCTATAGCCATACTGAAGAATATCTTGCATATCACCATAGAACCTTCATCTGGCAATGGATGGATAGAGACAGAGACCCACACTGGAGCACCGGACTAAGCTCCCAAGGTCCCAATGAGGAGCAGAAGAAGGGAGAACATGAGCAAGGAAGTCAGGACCATGAGGGGTGCACCCACCCACTGAGACAGTGGGGCTGATCTATTGGGAGCTCACCAAGGCCAGCTGGACTGTGACTGAAAAAGCATGGGATAAAACCGGACTCTCTGAACATGGCGAACAATGAGGGCTGATGAGACGCCAAGGACAATGGCACTGGGTTTTCATCCTACTTCATGTTCTGACTTTGTGGGAGCCTAGCCAGTTTGGATGTTCACCTTCCTAGAAAAGGAATATTTTAATAAGTAAAGAATCTTAAAACAAGCACTCATGCACACAGAAACATTTATAAAGTTATACAGACATACCATTTTAACAACCAAATAGAACACTTTCAGAAACCTGTCAGATGACCAACTTAAAAATCCTGGGGTAGGTAGGCGGCAAACGTCAGAAAAGCACAGAGGTGATCCCATTAAGGACCAAATTAGCAGATGCTGTAAGAGGGAACACAAACATAAGGAAGAAACATTTATACAGTTTTAGAGTGGAAGGACAGGTGAAAAACATATCTGTTGTAGAGAGTCTGGGCATGAGACAAACAGCAAACATCTGGGGGAGGGGTGGGCAGGAGGGGACCACAGTGATCTTGGCATAGGAGGCAGAGGCCAGGGAAGCATAACAAACAGCTGATGGGTCAGCGCCCTTCTAAAGGGACCCGCGATGGTCTCTGTTGCCCTCAGCCAATGGAAAGGGAATCGGGTTTAGATCTCTAAATCTGGAACAGGACAGGAGCTGGCTGCCCTTCTGGGCGTGGTGTCGGAGCAACGTGGGCAATGAAGAAATGGAAGTAGGGGCGGGATAAACTGTTGGCTGCCGAGGAATTGGGGGAGAGGGCAGGAGCAGGAGCACGCATCTTGAAACTTGGGTTGCAGAGCATTGTTTGCTTTAGGTTAGGTAGCCCCAATTTAAAAGGATTTTTGTAAAAGGCCACTGAAGGGCGTTTTAGGAATTGACTTGGAATCACAAGAAGCCAGTCAGAAGTTCATGCCTGTGGAACTCAAACCTGTTGCTATGTGTCCACCAAAGAGCATCCTTGAGTCAAAACGAAGGCGCATGAGAACCTAGCGGCAAATGTCTTTGGTCCACACAAGTCCCATCTCAGAGAAAGCCTGGCTTTCACCGCGTGGATCAGGCTTGTGGCACAGCCCGCAATTTAAGCAGAAAACCTGAAAAGTGAATGGATCACCCTAGGGACCCTACTGGCCATGAACTTTAAAAAGGGAACTCACTGAGTGAAACTGATCTTGCCTGATGGAAAGGGTCCAGGGGAATGGCATTTTCCAGCTTGTGGTCCTGGGCCCTGGGCCCACGGGAAAAATGAACCCTTTTGGTCGGATCTCTATCTGTTAGGAAAAATCTTATGAAGATCCTCTTTGCCGATGCAAAATCACTCCAATTATACCAGATTAGACCAAATAAAAAATGATCACGTTTAATAAATGCAGCACTTGCAGATGCCTGGGAGGATAGCAAGGGAAGACAGAGCAGGCCTGTGGGACAGGTCCTGACCCTCCCTGTGGAGGGGTCAGCACTTGGCAGCCTGGGAGTTGGAGTCCATACTAATGCAACTCCCATTGCATTAGTTGTAATGTAAATGAGTATTAAATTAAGCTCTTAGTGCTATGAACTTTCCTCTTTTTTATTTTTGTTTTTTTATTTATGGTGAAAAAGTGTATATTTAGAATTAGACGGCTAGGCTCAGTTTAGATGATTCCAATCTTGTTGGCAACATCCAGAGCATCATAATCAGGAGCCAACCGAACATACGCCTTCTTCTCTCCGTAGGGCCTTATGAGGGTGTTGACTTTGGCCACATCGATGTCATAGAGTTTCTTCACAGCCTGTTTGATCTGGTGCTTGTTGGCCTTGACGTTCACAATGAACACAAGTGTGTTGTTGTCTTCTATCTTCTTCATGGCTGACTCGGTGGTCAGGGGGAATTTGATGATGGCATAGTGGTCAAGCTTGTTCCTCCTGGGCGCGCTCTTCCGGGCATATTTAGGCTGCCTTCGTAGCAGCAGGGTCTTGGGACGCCGAAAGGTGGGCGATGTGCGGATCTTCTTCTTTTTGTGGCTGTGGACGCCTTTCAGCACTGCCTTCTTGGCTTTCAAGGCCTTCGCTTTAGCTTCGGCGTCAAGATGGCGCCGAAAGCGAAGAAGGAACTTTCCTCTTAAAACCACCTTCAGTGTGTCTAGGTTTAGAAGTGCTGCGATTTCTTTTAATTCTAAAAATAATTTTATTTCCTTCTCAATTTCTGTTTTGACTCATTTTTATTCAGTAGTGAATTTAGGTTCCATGAGTTTGTATACTTTTTGTTGTTGATATCCAGCTTTAATCATTGATGGTCATATATGTATACCCAATGTTATTTCAGTATTCTCATAGCTGTTAAGACTTGTTTTCTGCCCATGTTTGTTGTCAATTTTGGAGGAATTTCCATGAGCTGCTGCAAGGAAAGTATATTCCTTTCTGTTGGGTAAAATGTTCTGTAAATACCTGCAAGGACCATTGATTTTATAACATCATTTAACTTCAGCATTTTTCTGCTTAGTTTTTTTTTTTTTTTTTTTTTTTTTTTTTTTTGTCAGGAGAACTATCTATTGGAGAGAGTTGGGGGGAACTGAAGTCACCCACTACCAGAGTTTGAGAGTCAATATGTGACTTAAGCTATAGTAGTGTTTCTTTTATAAACTTGGGTCCCCTTGTGTTTGGTGCATAAATGCTTAGAACTGTATATCCTCTTGGTGGACTTTTTTCTTTCATTAGTACGTAAGGTCTTTCCCTATGTCTTCTCATTATTTTTTTTTCGAAGTATTTTTTATTCAGATATTAAAATGGCTATACTGGCTTGCTTCTTGGGTCCATTTGCTTGGAATATATTTTTCTGTCATTTTACTCTGAGGTGGCATCTATCTTTGCTGCTAAGGTATATTTTTTGAAATATCAGAAAGATAGATCCTGTTTCCTCATCCAATTCGTCAATCTGTGTCTTTTTATTTAGAGTATTGAGACCAGTATTATTAAGAGTCATCAATGGGCACTGCTTATTGATCTGTGTTATTTTATTGTTATGGTGTGGCTTTGTCCTTTTTGATTTTACTGGTCTGAAATTATTTATTCCTTGTGTTTTCTTGGGTATGGTTGGCCTCTTAGATTGAATTTTTTTCCTCAGCTCCTCCTGTAGAGCTGTACTGGTAAATAGATACTGATTAAATTTGATTTTTATTGTGGAATTTTTTTTCTCTGTCCACTGTGAATGAATGAAAGCTTTGCTGGGCATGGTGTAGTCTGGCCCAGCATCTCTGGTGTCTCAGAGTATGTAGAACATCTGTCCAGGCCCTTCTGGCTTTTAGAGTTTCCATTGAGAAGGTGGAATTATTCTAATTTGTCTGCCTCAATAGTGACTTGGTCTTTTTTTCTTGAAGCTTTAAATATTCTTTCTTTCTTCTGTACTTTTAGTGTTTTAAGGATTATGTGTTAGGTGGAATTTCTTTTCTCGTCCTTACTACTTGGTGTTCTGTAGTTTTCTTGTTTCTGGATAGGCACCTCCTTCTTTAGGTCAGGGAAATTTTCTTGGTTGATTTTATTTTATTTTATTTTTTTTTGGTTTTGGATCATTTTATTATCACAAAAGAGGAAAAAGACAAAAAGAGGAAAAGAAGATACAGTTGATAGCTCAACTCCAAATCTTTTAAAGATTTTGTTGAGACTATTTTCTGTGCCTTTGATCTGGGTTTCTTCTCCTTTATCTATTCCTATTATTTCATAGATTTGATCTTTGCCTAGTCGCCAAGATTTCTTGGATGTTTTGTGTCTGGATTTTTAAAAAATTTAACATTTTCTTTGAGGCATCCATTTCTTCTAACCTTGCTTTCTGTCTTCCATATTTCTGTGTTTGTTCTTTTGGTAAGGCTTACTTCTGAGGTTTTTGTTTGACTTCTTACATTTTTTTCATTTCTTTTTTAATGTCATGAGCAGTGTTCATTATTTCATCCCACTGTTTGTGTTTTCACAGACTTCACATTTTCTTTAAGGTGCTTGGATGTATTCATAATTTCTATTTTGAAATCCCTGTCTTGTGCTTCGGCTATATTGCATTTCTGAGGATTTGCTGTAGTATGGTATTGTCTTCTTTGTTTCTATTTTGTTGATTTTAGCTCTCAATTTGATCATTTCCTGCCATCTAGTTTTCTTGGGTGAGTTTGCTTCTTTTTGCTCTAAAGTTTTCAAATATTTTCTTAATTTACTAGTGTGCGATTTTTCCAGCTTCTTTATGTAAACATTTAGTGCTATGAACTTTCCTCTTAATACTGCTTTCATTGTGTCTCAAAGATTCGAACTAATATGAGATAGCCCAAGTTCTCAGTTGGCTGAATGCATGTCAATTACTTCAGCCACATCAGAGAGAGTGGAAATTTTCTAGTTGAATTTAGAATTATTGGAAATATTAAGACCTTGCTGTAAATTATTAACTTTTGGACTTCCATCCCCTCTTTGAATTCACCATATAGTTGAGGATGACTTTGAACTTATGATCCTCCTGCATCTACCCACCAAGAGTTGGGCATGTAAGTATGTACCACCATATCCATCTTATATATTTTCCTCTGCGCTAAACCTGAAACCTCATACAGGCTTGGGCAGCTTTCTGCCAACTCCCTGGCATAGCTTCTTAAGGGCAAGAACATACTATAAAAATAGCAAATTACATCATCTTTAGGATTCTTAAGAATATTTTGATATCAAACTGGTTGCAAATGGTGGGAGAGAGAATTTGAATAGATGAAAAGGCCAATGATTTAACGATTCTGTGGTTTTCTCTTCCACTTCAGGAAGCACATGTTTAAATTAGCTCTGCTTAGTGACGATGTAGCAACTACACAAATATCTCCCAGGAAAGGAACATCTCGCCCTTCCTCCTTGATGACTAAACCTGATTGGCAAGTAGTGTGGATATGTGCTGGCCTCAATCAGAGGTGAGAAGCTTAAAAATCCCCCTCCCAAATTTTCAGTTTTGAACATTCAGTAGATGTTAAATAATATTTAGTCACTACTGATTTATTCCCATCATTGCTTTCTTTTTCTAATAAATCAGATCCCTATAGACATTATGTAGCAGGAAAGGAAAAATTAAAAATATAAGTCTATGCATTCATTTAAAAGTTAAATTGATCAGATATTATATTTGTCTTATATGTGAGAGCACCCCAAAACTGTTTTTCTCTTTTTCAAGAAATTATTAACAATTTATTATTTTTTTTGTCTTTTGCTTGTAGTTTCAAATCATCAGTATTCAGATAAAACTATGGATTTTCCTTCCTGTGTTTATCGTTATTTTCCATATTGCAGCTTGGTTTCAGTTTAGTTCTTGGGAGATCCATTTTAAATAATCGTTTCCTTATAGGATGTACATTTATTTATTTGTTTACTTTTGGGGCTATAGTGGGAACTATACTTATTTTGCTGTTACTTTTATTAAGGTATGGTGATTAATATTATGCTTAGCTCAATTATTCTGTTTTTCAAGGTTCCATAAATATTCTACAACAAACTGGCAATAGAAATATTGATATCAGTAATGTTTTCAGTTAACTTGCTGCATAAGGTCACAATGCTAATGTGAGTCCCATGAACCAGAAGGGTCTGTTGTTTCCTGACTCAGTTGCACCCATATCCTTTACTATCTCCTCAGAGGTGCAACAACTGTCACTGCACAGTAAGTAAAACAAAAAGGCTAAGGTAATCTTACATTGTAGTGATCATGCTTTCAAGAAGAGTAACTCAAATTAGAGGCTCCATTAAAAATTTGCAGGGCATTTCAAGAGAGGAATTAAAGCAGTACATTATAGCCTTTAATGGAGGAAATGCAAGGGGAGGGGAATATCATTAAAACAACCAGGAGAAACTCTTCTTTCCTCATGTGGCAGTCAAGGACAGTGAGTTCACTCTCCTCTTGCAGCCAATACTGATATCAAAAGATTCTAAGGGGTCTGTGGTAGTCAGGAGTGGCTTGTCTAATTGGAGCTGGTACCTCAAATACATTCTGGTCTGTTCCAACTCTGAATCAGGTGGGAAGAAGAGTAACCCTGGTCTAGGTCAAGGTTTCATCTGACTGAAGGCTCAAGGGCCATCCGCCATACTCCCTGGGGCTGATGCTCTATTTTGCAGCTTCGTTGGCTGTTTGGATGTCCTTTCAGAGTCATTTAGCCCCATGCAAAGCTAAATTCCCTAGGACACTTTGCTTTTGTAGACTTCATTCTTAAACCAAAATAATGAAAACCAAGAGCCATCACTTCCATTCCTAACTGACCCACAATGCATTCCATAGATACAGAATACAAGCATTTGGGGTTTGACACATTAGTTTTAGGCACAGGGAACTTGGAAGGCAGGGGACACAGACACTCATTTAAAAACTGGTCACAAGAAACTAGATTCTTTGTTGATTAAACTCCAGTTCACCTACAATGATTTTAATCCATTGTTTGGTGAAATGATATTCCAAAGGCATTTTGAAATTGTTTTCAAGAATAAAATAGCTGAGCTGGCTTTATAGCTCATGGATAGAACACTTGCCTAGACTGTGTGAGACTCTAGGCTTTGTCCCTGGTTCCACAAAGAAAAACAGGGAAAAAATGACAACAAAAACTGAGCACTTGCCATCCTTCACACACTGGACTTTTACTAATTTATTTCTACAACTATTGAAGTTAGGTCCTGTTGTTCATACTAATAGCTCAGAACTTGTCTAAAGGATATTGTGGTACAAAGACATCCACACATTCTTTGATATACTCTGTTGGAAAGACGTGCTCTAATGATGGAGTCTGTACTAATAAAATATGGTAGAAGTGAAACCTTGCCAATTTGAGTGTCCAGACCTTTTCAGTTTGGCAATTTCTACTTCTTGTCTCTTTGGGACACTCCTACTTGAAGCCCAGAGATGCTGTGTAAAAGCCTGATGACCCAGAGTGTGTCATATTGGAAAGAAGACTAATGTGGCCAAGCAGAGGGACCACAAGAAGAATGATGTTCTGAGAGCATCTGCACTCCCACATCTGAACCATCCTCTGTCCTTTCCCCGCCTTGTTTGTCTTTCCGCTGAAGGCTCTCTTTCCACCTGCCATGTTGTGTCCTCTCTTGTTTACTGTTCCCCAGCATCCCCCTGGGTAAGACTCAACACAGAAGTTTGCTTGAGCTCCTTAGAGCCGCATAGTTAGCATTCAGAATAGGATAAACCCTTAACGATTTTCAAGTGAGTGGGTAGAAAATATAATTTTTTTTATATTAACTGAAGTAAGATGAGAAATGCCTTTTGCTTCAGGCACTTGGGATATTCTGTGCAGCTCTGCTGGTTGATGCTTTATGGAGGAAAAAAAGAAAGAACATAGGAAGGAGGGTACCACAAATAGATGGGATGATATATTAACCTCATAAGACAATCCTCTGATTTTAATGTAGCCTAGGAAAAGCCAGAATAACAGAGATAAAAAAGTTTCATTACATGTTATTGAGGACAATATTTTTCTTTTTTGGCTGTAGCTCCAACAGAGGATGTGCAGAACAAATGGTCCCACAGGGGAAACCTGTTCCCCAGGGAGGTGCCGCCAAAGTGGCCAGACACCTACTGGAAGAATTTCAGCAATGATTAGATGGCTTCCAAGAGTTACACTTGCTGAAATAATTAAATGTTTTTGAAGTCAAGCAAACAAGAAAAATTATTTTGTTATTTACAAAGGAAAAATAGGGTTCCATTTTTAGGAACCCTAGAGCAAAGGTTGACCTCATTTTAGATTCTGTTGAGATATTAAGGAAATAAATCTAGATAACAGGCAGAATATATAGTAAGTTAAAAATATCATGTAAAATGAAATGACGTCATACCCTACTCTCAACCCCAGAGTTTTTAAAAGTGTGCCTGAAAGGAAATAGGCTGCACAATAGGAAGATGGTGGGGAGCAGGGGGTATCTCCAAACACAGCATCCCCTGGGCAAGAGTTTGCTGCTGGTTTTATGTGCAATTAGTTCATCCAGCTTCTAGAGGAAAGAGTTAAAAGCGTGGATGACATAATGCCTTGAAGTGATCGGAAACAAGAAGAAAATGTGATGTCATTGAGAAATTAGCTTCTAAATCAATTGAGGAGGCCGATGCTAGTCCAGAAACAAGTGTATTCTGGTAGGCATGCTACTGGGGAGGGAGGGAGGGATCCATTCTCCATCTGGCGTGGGTGGGAATGAACTTCCCTCAGGGGATTTCAGCAATGCTCTGTGGGCACTCAATTCACATTTCATGATGTGAATGTTAGAATTGTTTCTAAAAGTTGGCATATAGAGCCAACACTGTATCTTTAGTCTACAATAAAGTGAGGAACCGCTTCTGCTGAACATAAATAGCTATTTCATTATTTTTGAGGGAGGCAAGTTGAGCCTTGTGGAGTGGGGATAGCCAAAGTGCCGGGGTTACTTTTGCTTAATGAATCAGGTGAGCATTTTTCTAATTGCATTGTTTTCATCTGCGATTATGACATCTATCATGGAGTGCATGCAGCTCATAGAAGTCCCACACGTCTCACTCATTTTGTGGTCTGACAAGCTTTTGAAACAAAACAAATGTCATTTATCCATTTGGTCAAGAAATTGAGTACTAACTTTCCAAAAGACTGCTTTAACCATATTGATCGATATACTGCCACCAGAATATCTTCATTAGAGGGGTACAGGCTGGGAAAGTACACCTACTCTGATATATACCCAAGGCAAACCATCAAAATAGCTTAGCAAGCTCATATGATCTCATCCCTTTGTTTTATATTTCATTTAACTGGCAATGCAAATTTTTTACATGAAGATGCTGGAATTGTAAGATAACTGTGATGCATATATTTCCATGAATACTCTAAGTTACTGGTGGCTTGTGGTACTTTTACTTTTAGTTGGGCAACATTGGAATGTAGTTGGAGTAGCTTCAACATAACCTTATATTCTATACTAATCTATACTTGCTGTTTTCTGAAAGAAAGAAAACTGTGTTTATAAAGAAGCTTGTTGCAATTGTATTTGTAATATAAGCTATTGTAGATCAATGCACTGTGAATATTTTTAATTCATTAAATTTCTGGCTTTGCATTAATAACAGACTAACTGCTTCTAGATACTAGGTTGCTTAACTAGGTCTAACTCGTTTGATCCTATCCCACCAGACGAGTAAAAAGAGGCACAGATATTTGAGGTAGTTTGACTGGTGCCAGAGGCCAGTGTGTGGCAGAGCTGGAGTTCATATATAGGTGGTGGGACTTCTAGTTGGTATTTATAACAAGCATCTGTCTCATATCTTGAATACTGTGTAGTGTGTGGAATTTTTCATTTTGTCCCTGGTTCTTTCACCTGAATTGAAATACTGACAGTTCATTTAATAACAGGTAAAGAGATATTTTTTTCTCTCTGGTGACGTAAATTTACATTTCAGGACTGATTTGAAAGACTACTTATAAGAAGTGGATTTCTTCAGGTGAATATCGAGATAAGCGGATGAGTGAAGTGGGAAAGGACCATGAGGGAATGTGGCTTGACCGTAGCAGCTTGTCAGAAAAGAACTGATTCAAAGTGCTCTTTTAGAACTTTGTAAAAACAACTTTTGCTGCTTGTAATGAGTGTTATAAGGGAAACTAGATAGGCCTGTTCTGAAGAGCGGGTTGTTCAGTGAAGTTCTAAGGAGTATGGATAGAATGACAGCTACTTCACAGATGATAAGAAAAAAGGAATAGAATTGGATTCAAGGGGGTTAAGAAATAGCTAAGCAAGAAAGTGCTGGAATTAAATAGAATTACATCAGATTAAAAAGCTTCTATGTGATATGACAACATTCATCATAGGAAGACACAGTCTACATAAAGAATGTGAAAAACTGCTTACCAACCACGCAACTGATAAAGGATTAATATTCCGAATATATAAAGTACTAGAATATTGTCCAAACAATCTAACAAATAAATAAATGATAAATTGGACAGTTTTCAAAGATGAAGTACAAATGGTCAATAAACACAGGGAACAATATTTGGCATCTTTAACTATCATGAAAATGCCAATCAAAATACACTTGAGATTCCATTTCATCCCAGTCAGAAGGTCTGTCATCAGAAACAAATGCTGGTAAGTATGTGGGGGACATTGCTCAAGGGAACATATATTAGTGGAGACACTATGGAAATAAGTGTCTCAAAAAAATAAAACTATGGCTATTATGTGCTCTAGCTCCTGGGTATTTGCCTGAAGATCAGCATACAAAGAGATACTTGCATATCCATGCTTATCACTGCACTAGTTACCATAGGCAATGCATGTAATTAGATGTCTACCATCAGATCAGTGTATAAAGAAGACTTGATAACATATAAAAGGGAGTTTTCCTCACCCACAAGGACTAAAATCATGCCATTTTCAGGAAAATGGAAGGAACTGGAGGTCACAGTGCTAGAGCACAAGCTAAGCTCAGAACAATTATCTCATGTTTCATTTTACATATAAATTGTAGGTCTTAAATAATGACATGAAGACAGTGGGGACAGTTTCAGTATTAGTGTGATGACTGAATAAGATGTCAAAGAATTTTATTATTTTGTTCAAATAAAAACTGGGACAAACATCAAAATTAAGACGAAGAAGGGATGTCTTTGAGAGAAATGAAAGGCTGATAATACACGTGGAAAATAAAACTTCAGAATTGTATAAATTAGAAGTAGAGGCATCTGGCCAGCATGCTGGCAGACAAGTACAATCTGACTACTTGGGAAGCTGAGTCAGGTGAAACCCGAACTGAAGGCTAGCTTAGATTATATAGTATGACAGTATCTACAGCAAAGAAAAGTGGAGAGATTAGGTTATGGTTCCCATTAATCTCATTTGACAGAGAAGGGAATGCAGCTCAGCGCTTTGCAAGTTTCTGTCTTCCTCCTTTGTCTGATGTGAGTTTTGCCAGCCTACCCTCGGGCTTTTGAAATTTTTCCACATAGGAACCATTTACATTGAGACATTTTACATGATTTTGGGTTTGATAGGTATATAAAATAGGTATCCAAATCAAACATTTACTCATAATAATCATAAAAGACTTATTTAAAAAATTGGTGTATATATAAGCATACACATACATACATGAATGCATACACACATACACACACACACACACACACACACACACTTATGATTTTACCATTCAGGAGAGAAGAATGTGAACTTGCCTCTGATGAGGTGGATGTGCTTCATTATTTTTCCACAAAGAAAATCTTGACAGAGTGTCTGACATACAACATAGAACATCTTCAGTATTTTTCAGAGTAGATTGAGTTGATTAATATGAATATTTTATCATTTCAACATCTAGAATACCGCTCTGCATAAATATGTAATATAAAATGTCAGAGGTGTGGCTAGGGCTAATTTAGGAGTTGTTGAGATTCTGTGTTAATCCCAAGCCAAAATCTACTTAATGAGTTTTTATGAAACTCATCAAGTCGGATAGAAACCTCCTTTGAACATTTTAAAACTATATTTATTTACTCGTGTGTGTGTGTATGTATGTGTGTGCATGTATGGACATGTGTGCACCAGAACATGTTCTTTCTATAGTGTGCAGGGGGTAGTCAAGAGGACAGCTTGCAGGAGTCATTGTCCATTTCTACCCTATTGATTCCACATAGCAAATCTAGATCGTTAGGTTTGGCAGCAAGTAATCTTACCTCTGAGCCATCCTGCTGGTCCTATAGCAGCAATTAAAAAAATCAAATATCCTATCACAATTCATTTAAAAAGTACACTAATTTGATATTTTCTTGATGAACAGTAATGGCAAGAAAATACAACATCTTTATTTTTACAATAAGTATATTTCTGTAAGAGTAAAGCACATTGTATTGGTCTAGAGAGATAACTCAGAGATTAAGAGTGTATACTGAAATTCTAGAGGACCTGCGTTTGGTTCTCTGCCCTGTGTCAGGTGACTCACAACCACCTGGAGAACCAGTTCTAGGAGTATCTGACACCTCTAGCCTCTGCAGGTTCCTGCACTCATGTCCACATACCCACCTACTCACACACACACACACACACACACACACACACACGTAAT